ATCATATCTTAGGAATAATAAAATTATCATTTCTTAAGAATAATAATTATCATATTTAAGGTACAATAAAATCATCATTCTTTAAAAATAATAATATTATTATTCCTTAAGTATAATAAAACTATTATTCTTTAATAATAATAAAATTATCATATCTAAAATATGGGAGAGTTTCTAGAAAAATCAGGTTCTGAGAAATTTTTGACTAAAATTAAGAGCTTAATACATTTTAATTTAATAATATCAAAAATTAAAATACAATAAAAATCTCAATTTTGCTAAAAAATTTCTGAAACCTGATTTTCCTAGCAATCAACCTATATGATAAAACTATTTTTTCTAAGAAATGATAAAATTGTTATATCTAAGATATAATAAATGTATCATTCTTTAAGAATTATAATACCATCATTCTTTAAGTATAATAAAACTATTATTTTTTAAGAATGATAAAATCGTCATATCTAAGGTATGATAAAATTATTATACCTAAGGAATGATAAAACCATTATTCTTAAGGAATGATAAAATCATTGTATCTTAGAAATAATAATACTATTATTTCTTAGAAATAATAAAATTATCATACCTAAGATACAATAAATGAATTGTTCTTAGGTATAATAAAACTATTATATTTAAAGAATAATAAATGTATTATATCTAAGGTATGATAATACCATTATTTCTTAGAAATAATAAAACTATCATACTTAAAACATGATAAATACATTATTTCTTAAGAATGATAAAATTATTGTATCTTAGGTATGATAAAATCATTATTTTTAAAGAATGATAAAATTATCATTTTTAAGAAATGATAATACTATTATATCTAAGAATGATATAATTATTCTAATTAGACGTCAATTGGCTATAAATAAGATAGGTTAAATTTAGCCAATTTTTAATATATACCAATCAGCTATAAGTATGCCAATTGGCTATAAATAAGATAGGTTAAATTTTGGCTAATTCTTGACCAATTTTTGATGTATATTTATCAGTTAGATTGATTTTTGATAATTTGCTGATTTTAGGCTGATTTTTGCATATCTGATTTTTTGATTTTAACTAATGTAAGCTATGGTTACTTTTAAACATATATATTTTTTTACATAAAAATTTTTATCAAGTGATTATCAGAAAAAGCTTTATATTTTTATTTTTTTTTTTATAATTTTTAGATAATAAGTTATTTTAAAAAATTGAAAAATTAAAAAATTAATATTTATTAATAAATTATTAATTTTAAAAATTTAAAAATACTATCATTAGATATATCTTAATATGACTAATTTAATAAACTTTATTTCATCTTTTTATGATTATTAGATATTAAGATATTATAATGTTTCTATAATATTTTATAATAAATTTAAACTTATGTTTTAAGTGATAATATTTTTAATTAATTAAAGGTAAATATATTATTATATAAATTAATTGTAATTTTAAAAGTTACAATTTACTTTAAGGTTTATTTATATTAATAGAATTATTATAAATTTAAATTAATATACAATCGTTTCCTATATAATCACCCCCTGTACAATCTCATCATATAAATCCCTTATTATAAGCATACATTTCATAAAAACAATACAGTTGAAGTTCTCTATAATGAATCTCAATTTTTAAAGGTTACAATTTGTTATAATAAGAGAATTCAGTAACGTTTTATCAAATTTTATAAACCTATTTATTTTATGAAAATACTGAATATCATATTCAAATTCAGTATAGAAATTTATTATTTTTTTTATTGATTATAATATATTTAACATAACTTTATTACAAATAAAATTGCAAAAAAAAATTATAAAAAATCATTTTCTACAAACAACCAAATAAACCTTGTTATTCTTTATTAGTATTAACCTTATTTATATTTCTCAAACATAAATCTAATATAGCTTAGTATTTAGAATAGAACTCTTTCTGTTTTACTATTTTTTGTAATGTTTTTATTGCTCAAATTTGATCTTTTAAAAATTCAACTTTATCAGATTTTAGTTTTATATATATGATTATTTTGTTTAGTGCTACTAATGCGTCATGATTATTAATAATTGGAATTTCTGATTTTTTATTATTTGATTATTCTTCTAGTTCTTTTATTAATTCTATAATTTTATTATCAGTTAACATCTGATAGATTATTTTTTCTTTTTTATATTGTAAATATTCTTCAACAGGAATCAGATTTTTGTATACATTAGGAGTTAATTGATCAATAAATCTTATATTTTTTTAATTTCATCATGTTCAATAAATCTGTAAAATTAATATCAAGGCTTTTATCATTAGTATTTAATAAAAGAATATCTATTTTTTTCTAACAATTTACGATCATTTTTAGTTGAACTAAGTTCTATGCTTTTGCTATATATTTAATTGCTTTCTTAATTATAATATTAGATATGAGTTGACCAGTTTCTTAATTATGATCAAATTCTTTAATACAATTTTGCAAAAATAATCTCCTGTATTGTACCTATTAATAAATTAAATATTGGTAAATTGATTTTTTTTATAACATAATTTTATTAAAATTACTTACTTTAAAACTTCTAATTATTCTAGCATCACATGATTGTAGGTATGCAGTTATATTAAGAGCTAATTTGTGAAGACAAATATTAGAGAGTGTAGTATTTTCATATAAGATATGAGTGGATGCACCATCATAAAGTAAGATTATGTAACGATTTTAAAGTCTTAAATGTGCATCAAAAATTTTAAGTCAATCATTTTAGATACTAACTTACATATAAGCTATTTTATTCTAATAATATTGTACTGGTAGTGATGACTTGAAATATGTTTCAAAGCACATGAATTTTGATTTTTTCTAATAAAAACTGGTTTAACTTTTTTAGTTCCCAAAATATTACAATATAATGTAATAGTAACCCGTTCTTTAGATTGTTTTTGATCTGTAACTAAATGTAAGTATTATTATTTAACTTTTTATATAATTATTATATTAATTTATACTAATTAACATTATTTTTTACCTGATCTATTTGATAAAACACGATTTGATTTCATTTTTCCAATAAAGTCTAGTTTCATCTATATTAAATATATTATTAGATGAATATTTTTTAAGAACATTTTAAAGATTTTTACATATATCATTCAGATCTTTTAAGGAAGCATTTGCTGCTTCTTTATGTCTTAAATAGCATTTAAGGTTATGATATTTTTTAAATCTGCCAATCATCTATCTAATCTTTTGAAGTCTTGTATATCAAGTAATGTTGCAAAATCATGTGCTTTTTATACTAATAATTCACTATTAATAGTAATATTATTATTTATTGCCTTTTCAACCCAAAAGCTTAAAGCTTCTTCAATCTATAGAAAATATAGTTTAATTTTTCTTTTAAGTGAGGCTTCATAAAACTCCAATTTTAAAGCTAACCATTTTTCTTTTTCTTTTAAAATGTCACATATCATTCCTTCTGAAACACTAAATTCTTTATCAAGTTCTTTATTCTTAGGTATTGGTTTTTGTAACTTCTTTAAACAAACTTCTTGTTTTTGAACACCTATGAGCAGTGATGGCAAGTAACCCAAATAACCTCAAATGATTCAAATGACTGATCATGTGTTATTTGAGTCATTTTAACATTAAATGACAAATGACCTGGTCATTTAAAAATTATATCATGTGATCTCAATGATTCGAACGTTTTCATAAATATTTCACGTGATATAAATTTGTAATTCTGGCGAGCATATAAAATTTGGCCTGTATTACATTTAAATGACCAAATGACAAATGACCTCAAATGACTAGGTCATTTGATGGTCATTCAGAGATCATTTCAAAATTATCAAATGACCTTAGTCATTTGCCATCACCGCCTATGAGAGAAGCTCTAGTTTTACCTTTAGGAATATTTTTAGAAGAGATTTTTCTTTTTTCATTAGGCATTTTAGATAAAAGCTAATCAAGGAAAAAATTATAAAATCGATTTGGATGTTAAATCATTTAATAAAGTTTTACAAATGCAAAATTTCCTTTAATTTAAAAAAATATTCGGTATATCCCTTAAATTTATTAAAAAAATTCGTTAACGAAAGCTTCATTTTACTATATTATGTACAGGATCGTCAATTCGTTATACATAATAGCAAGATTTATTATAAAAATTCATTATATACAAATATTTTACTTAATAAATTTGGGACCGCTCATGTGGTTCATAATAGCCAAAAATTCGAAATAAAGAAATTCGTTATAGACAACTTCAACTGTACCTATTAATGCTATATAAAAAAGCCCCTTTATAATCACAGTATTTTTCTAGTCACACCCTTTCAGAACCAACACTTAGTAACAACATATAAAAATCCCCTGTATAGTAACTTTTTATTATAATCCCACTTTTTATTTTAGGTCCCGAGGGATGTGACTATAACGAGGGACGACTGTATACAGTAATTTTCATTAACATTTAAGGCAACTTCTATGTTATTGATATATTATATCACGTGATATCTAATAAAGATAATACTGTATATGTAAATCGTTATTTTTATCACTTTATTAAAATAAGTATTTATAAGCATTGTAAAAATTTAAGCTATTTTCTCATTATTTTTACTTTTTTTTTTCAATATCCCAAAAAGGTTCCCGAAATGTTAGATCATGTCAAGAAAATGTGTCATGACCATTAAGCCTGATCGTGTTCATGTCGCCATTGTAGTAAAACTAGATTCGAGCCAGGCCAGGTATCTTCCCGTATAATACAAGTAATATTTTATACAACACAAGCAATCTTAATTTATTTATTTAATTTTTTTTTTTTTAAAAAAAAAAAAAAAAAGTAAATACAAAATTTAATTATTGTGAAAGGCAACGTTATAATTAAATATCCCAAATATATTTTTTTATATTTATTTTTTTTCTAATCATTACAATTATTAAATTAAATATTAATTACAAATAAACAAAAATATTACAAGAGAAGAAAGATCACAAATTAAACGTTGGAATTATTTTCCTTAAATGCTTTTTTACCAACGTCACTACAACATCGAATAAATGAAAAGATAAGGGCGATAAGTAAACAGATAAGACTGCTTATTGATAAAGCATTGGCAGGTCCATTATTATTATCTCCAATTCCAGGAAAAGCACCAATTACACTAAAAACTAGGGTGAAGAGCATTGATGTTGTTATCAATGAAGCTAAATTAAGTATTATGGAGAGGAATAACAATAAAATTGCTAACGAATAATAAAATGTGGCATTCTTCATATCGACAAATACCAATAAGAGAATAGCCACAAAATTAAAAACTGCCGCAGCAATAATTGGTTTTGCCAACAATCCAGAGATACCATTGGTGGTTTCTTTGGGCTTGAAGTTATCAAACGCTTCTAATAACTTTTTTAAGGCCTCTCTAGCAACCTGTTGGGCCAATTCGCCAGCCTTTTCCCCAATTTCCCCCACTTTCTCGCCAACTTCGTTTACAGTTTCATCAACGTTAACGTCGTTGGCAATTTCACCTACCTTTTCACCAACATCTTGGGCGCCATTTCCCACATCTTCTGCAACGTCTCCTACTGTATCAGTTACGCCGTTACCGATCTCAACGGGGTTGAAGTCACGAACGGCATATTTATGAATCGACCGTTTTTGAATCTCCCCGGATTGGATCTCTTTCGAACTTGGTGCTAAAATAAACAAACAGATAATTTAGAAATACAGTTCGCAGCAGTGAAATAAATAATCACGTGATACGGTTTAAAGGTTTACCTTTGTCGAAATCATGGGAGACCTCTTTCGTACAAACGTCGTCGATACAATATCCAAGCAAAGTAAATTTTATGCTTTTTCTTTGTATCAATTCGCTTATCCCTTTATCGAATGTAAATTCATTGACGTAAACACTTCCAGTCGAACCACCAATTAACATGGTCATAAAAAATATGGTGGATAATAAAATCAAACAAATGGTGACAAGTCTCAACTTGTCTTTTAACGTCTCCTGTACAATCTCTTGTAATTTTTTTTGTATTTGTTGATGAGTTTGGACTTTTTCCGACGACATTTTGTATATATTTAAGCGGACTGTTACTTTGTAGATTAAGAAATTGATTTTTTTTTGGTTATTTTATAGAAAGGAATGATTATTTTCACAGTCCCGCTGTGTTTAATTGTAATGATTAAGAAAAAAAATAAAAATAAAAATGATTTTAAAGAGAATTGGGATATTTTTTTTGTGGACGACGTGGAATCCGGCGTGGTCAAAGAAAATTCGAATTGTCAACAAGCGGTGTATTTATAAGAAAATTCACATTTTATTATACTTCCTTGTTTTCCTTTAAGAAACTAATCAAAACCTTTTGAATTGATCCGTTTATAATTGTTAAACAAGTGAACTTTGTTTACCTAATTGAATTGGAAGAGTTTTTGTTTCAAAGACAATGTATTCATTCTCCACGAATTTCCTTATTTAGGAATTGTTCATATTACCGGTTTTAGACATTTGTTGTGACAGTTCCCTGCAGAGTTCCCGCTCGCAGGTGGTGGTTGGTTACACCGTAAAATGATGATCTTTGACGCCTATTTCTAAACAAATGATTCTGTTTTTCTCATGGAGTATTATTATTTCTAAATAATAATTAACCAAAAGAAAAATTCTTATCTAATGAAAAAAGTAATATACGCCAAGCAAAACAAAACTAATGATAAATTTTATTATAAATTTGATTATTTACGGCTAATTAAAGTTGAATTTTATTTTTATAATAAGTTTAGGCTATCTTTCGGTAAAAACAAAACTAGTTAAATATATTTATTAATATTTAAGGCCATTATAAAAAGCTAAGCTATAAATATTGTCTATGAAAATGTTTTTTACTCATACTAACTTCAAATTTACTTTCACATGATAAATCAATTTAGGCAATAATGGAATTTTGATTTCCTATATAGTAGTATAAAAATCTTTACCCTTCACATTTTTTAAAGGAAAAAATAAAAGAAAATCATCATGGAAAACAAATTAGTCACATTTCATGTCCATCTACCGGTTGATATTGAAAAGCTTGGGCAACCAGTTGTTATTGGCAATGGAAAAGGATTAGGAGAATGGAAATATCCTATCGCAAAACTTTTTCGTCCATTTCCTAATAATAATCCTACCTATTGGCAATCTAAACCAATCGTTATATCAATCGTATCTCCTACTTTACGATTAAGTTATAATTACGCTATACATGTTCCATCTTCAATTTTTCACTTGGAAGATGAAAAAATCTTGTTCGAAAGCTCTGAAAAGCGTTCGTTAGATGGAACGAATCAATTTGATATCTGGATTAATGGGAATGAATTTTTAAAAAAATTTCAATTTAAATATATTACTGATTATGCTTTCGTAGATTGCATTTATAAACGCATCACACCTGATAATCTAAGTGAGAGCGTTGCGGATTATCTAAAAATATTAAAACATCACGAGGATCTTACGATTGGGTTTTCAAATTACGATTATATAGTCAAAAATATCAATGATATCTCATCGAGGGAACAACGACGTTTCTTATGTCTCTTGTTGGGATTTTACATTTCGAGAGAACGCGTTACATATAAATTACCAAAAGATTTCAAATCTGATGTTTTTATTGATGCTTTCGTAGACTACAAGAAAGATATCTTATGTTCCGATGATATCGTGAACTTTATAATTATGGTCATCTCGTATTTGATTCAACACAATGCTCTTCAGTCAAAATTAGATTGGATCGAGATTTTTACGATCGTCAATGAAATCGATCCGGAACTTTCATTTTTGGAGAATTTACAAGATGTTAAATATAGCGATTCGGATTTGTGCAAACTTTCTGAAAGGATTAAACCTCATATTAGCAATGTTAAACCTGAAAATGCGATGAAAGTGACTCGGTGGTTGGTACGTCAATGTGAGAACATCAAACCTCTTTTTGAGGTTTGGAATATTTTCCCCGTTAGAAATAAGCAAATCTCTCAATACTTTGTTTATCAAGTTCAGAGTATCATTTCTAATAATCACTCGAACGACCTGTTAATTAACTTTTCGAAAATTCCGTGTGATTTTCAAGACCGCGTTTCTTATACTTTCCGGAAACGAGCTTTACTTTTACTTAAAAACCTTGACGAATGTTGGACAATTTCAAATGTCTCCGCCCTGAGAAAACTTTTCTTGCAGGATAATCTAAACTGGAATTACAATGACGTCATGTATTCCCTGGAATTGATTTCTCTTACTCATAGTTTGGAATTGTCAAGTAATTTTCCCGAGATTTTGAATGACTTGCTCACCATCAAAGATTTTTCCGACGTTGAAATGAAAAAGATATCGACTATTTGTAAAGACTGGTTCAAATTTCTTTTATCCATTAAAAATACCAGTTTGTCAGATGAAAATAAATATGTCTTTACGGTATTTCAACAATTAGATCACATGTATCCTTTGTTTA